ATAACTATCAGTTTAACCTGAGACTGACATTAGTATTGAAATACTCAAAGAATTAAAAAAAAATTCTCTTGTATTTTAGCCTTAAGATAGAAAAGATAGGGAAGAAGTGATTAAAGGTGTTATTATGTTCGGTTTATTAATTGGCTCAATTTTTTTTTGTATCGAACATATATATGGTTTTCAAGATTCTGATTAGGCGGAAATTCTGGATTTTAAGTTAGTTGTCATACATAAATTATTTTAAATAATGGAAACAAGATTATTGAGCAGTTTTCCAAAGTCTTTGCAAACATGATCAATGGTTGTTTATATGTACATTTGCAGAGGTTGGTTGCATCTTTGTTGTGGTAACGCTGCTGGTTCGTCTCCTGCACGCTGATTCCTGGAGGCTTCAGGTGGAGGTGGAGGCGTGGCGGCTACGGAGGAAGATCACGAGGAGGTGGAGGCGGAGGTTACGGAGGAGGAGGAGGAGGTGGTGGAGGAGGATATAGAGGCGGTGGACGTTCCGGAGGTGGTGGAGGCTACAGTGGTGGTGGTGGAGGTAGAGGAGGCGGAGGTGGTGGTGGTGGCGGATACGGAGGCGGTGGAAGATCTCTAGGAGGAGGAGGCGGCGGAGGCTACAGTGGTGGTGGTGGTGGTGGAAGAGGTGGTGGTGGTGGCTACGGAGGCAGTCGAGGTGGAGGCGGTGGCGGCGGCTACAGTCGAGGTGGAGGCGGTGGCGGCGGCTACAGTCGAGGTGGAGGCGGTGGCGGCGGCTACAGTCGAGGTGGAGGCGGTGGTGGCGGGTACAGTGGAGGTGGAGGCGGTGGTGGCGGCTACAGTGGAGGTGGAGGCGGTGGTGGCGGCTACAGTGGAGGTGGAAGCGGCAGTAGTTATGGCAAATAAGTTGAAGATTTTCCATACAACGTGACCGTAGCACAGAGATATAAACAAAACTCATCCATTTAAAGGTTCAACAACATATCTCTCGAACTGAGAATTACCAAATATAATCCACACACACACAATAACCTATGATATTTTACACAATTCGAAAAGTGTTTGATTGTCTCCACATAAAAATAAGTATTTTTATATAATGTGATTGATAATAAACAAAGAAAATCATTTAAAGTTTAATTTATTCTTGACAGAAATTTTTGTCTAATAAATTGTAAGGTGCTCAGCGCTCAATTTGTTAGTAACGTCTAACTAATTCTTATCTCTGACGAAGGAAAAAGGGTTTCTCTAGGGCAATATATCCAGTTGTAGGTGATTGGCTACAAAATATAACAAATACGCCTTTTCATTAGAGTATGAAACTTATAAATGATTACGACTCACTTGGTTTACGAAAAATTCTGAGTCACTGATTATACAAGACTTGTAACTCAGGCGAGAAAGATGGCCTATATTAAGTTTTACATACCAAATAAATGTGTCTTATTTTCACCCATTTGTTGGTTTCTACATGTCTTCCGGTTACGGTCAGGGAATAAGGGAGGACAGCTGGTTTAGAAGACACTATGACAGAATGGACACCTTTACTGAGACTAAAGTTACTTGCAGACATAACATGTCAAGTCTACAGAGAAAAAGTTGAGTCTCTAAGCGAACCGTTTCCACAACAAAGGTTTACATTCTGCCAAAAACTTTCTGTCAGCTTCTTGGCTATACAACCTCCTTTCCAGGCAACTGACTTGTCCAAGACGAAGTTTCTTGAACTTCTTGACGGCCATAGATCAGATGTTCTCAAAATACTCTGTCGCTCTTTCCTTATCAAGCTAATCTCTGATCCAATATTCCCTTCTCCTGCCATTAATTTTTTAGTTTATTGTATATTATAAACTTTATGCATTAGATAAATTCAGGAATGAAACAAAGACATCATGTATATTCAGTACACAAATAACCCGCACACAGAAGAGAGGAGCTTACGACGACGTTTCGGTCCGACTTGGACCATTTACAAAGTCACACTGACTTTGTAAATGGTCCAAGTCAGACCGAAACGTCGTCGTAAGCTCCTCTCTTCTATGTGCGGGTTATTTGTGTATTGACATCTCTTGTTCTGAATGTTTTCATTATCCAGCCTATCAGTTTCCTCGCAGATGTGATAGTGGCACTGTTGTGATCCTTGAAGGTGAGATCGTCAGACATTACCACTCCCAGGTCCTTCACATTACTTTTCCACTCTATTGTGTGATTAGAGGTTGTAGTATACTCAGTTGTGGCTATTATTTCCTCCAGTTTTCCATAACGGAGTAGTTGGAATTTGGCCTCATTGACCATCATATTGTTCTCCGTTGGTTTATATCTTCATTGAGATTTGCCCTGTCCTCAATGAATGACACTCTCATGCATATCCTAGTATCGTCTGCAAAGGATGATACGGTGCTATGGTTTAAGATAAGATAAAATAAGATTTCGTTCGGATTTTTAACCCCGGAGGGTTAGCCACCCAGGATAACTCAAGAAAGTCAGTGCGTCATCGAGGACTGTCTAACTTATTTCCATTGGGGTCCTCAACATTGTCCCCCAGGATGCGACCCACACCAGTTGACTAACACCCAAGTACCTATTTGCTGCTAGGTGAACAGGACAACAGGTGTAAGGAAACGCGTCGAAATGCTTCCACCCGCCGGGAATCGAACCCAGGCCCTCCGTGTGTGAAGCGGGAGCTTTAGCCACCAGGCCACCGGGGTCCCCCCCGGGGGCCCCCCGGGGGGCCCCCCCCCACGGTTTTTCATCTCTATGTCTGATATGAGGATGAGGAACAGGATAGGTGCGAGTACTGTGCCTTGTGGAACAGAGCTCTTCACTATGGCAGCTTCTGATTTAACTCTGTTTACCACTACTCTTTGTGTTCGATTGGTTAGAAAGTTGAAGATCCATGACTCACGAAATCTTAATGACACGATTGCAAACAAACCATACCACGGGCGGGGATAGAACCCGCGATCAGAGTCTCAAAACTCCAGTTGGACGAATCTTATTGTGGCTAGTTGGTCCAGTGGCTAACGCGACGGTCTGGAGTTTTGAGACTCTCTGATCGCGGGTTCTATCCCCACCCGTGGTATGGTTTGAAGATCCATCTGCCTACTTTGCCAGTTATTCCTTTAACACGAACTTTGTGTGCTATTACACAATGATCGCACTTGCCAAAGGCTTTTGCAAAATCTGTGTATACATCTGCATTCTGTTTGTTTTCCAGAGCATCCAAGACCATATCATAGTGATCCAGTAGCTGCGAGAGACAGGAGCGACCTGCTCTGAACCAATGTTGCCCTGGATTGTGCAGATGTTGGAAATCCAAGTGATTTGCAATCCTGCTTCTTAGAACTCTTTCGAAGATTTTTATGATACGGTACATTAAAGTTATCCCCGACATAGGTTTAATCCCCGACATTGGTGGAAACGTTGGTCATAATTCCTTACACCTGTTGTCCCTGTTCACCTAGCAGTAAATAGGTAATCACTTGTTAGTCGACTGTCGTGGGTCACATCCTGGTCGACAAGATTGAAAGACCCCACTGGATATAAGACAAGAGTCTCTGATGACGCACTGGCTTGCTTGGGTTTATTCTATGTGGCTAACACCCCGGGTTAAAAAAAATCCAAACAAATCTTATCTTAAAGCAGTTGTAATCATCTAAAACTTGTTTAATTGTACTTGTGTATAAATGTACCTAAATAAACTTACATCACCAGACAAGAACGCTGGAGTTCCTAAAATTGGTATTCATCTCTATATATATAATTACACAGAGAAACATACACTTCTCGGCTCGTGCATCCTGAGTGTGGAAATCAGTTGGATTCCCACTGGATTTTAGACATTGATTTATCTACTTAAATCTAAATTATGTACTTTTTATATGCCCTTAATATATGTGTACCCTCAGTACTACTGGTTATTTTTTATGTTACATGCCCTAAGCCTCAATGAAACTTTACTACCTATATATAGTACCTATTACTTACTAGACAGAGTACAGAGAAGGTTGACAAGTTAGTAGGTAGGTATAATGTTTGTCAGGAAAGAGGACAAGTGTTTCCTCACGCGGGTCTTAGTCATATGATGACCCACAGCTGGAGTTTTTGGTCATCTGACCGAAAAAAAATCATGGTTATGATTATAACCGTTATTATCTATTGATGACAAAGTTGATCCCATGTATCAGAAATCTTCCCTACGAGGATAGACTGAGGATACTGAATTTGCAGTCTAGACAGCCGTGGAATTAAGGGGGATATGTTAAGTAAAAGGACACAAATGCAACTAATAAGACTATCATGGCAACTTTTCGCTCTCCAGGAGCTTCGAGAAGCTGTTACGGCAATGTTCCTGCCGAGGGAAACGCTGCCACAATAAAATGCCTCATTACCTGCACTTGTGTCCTTTTACTTAACATATTGTCGATAATTCTACTAACATTATAATAAGGGGGATATGGCTGAGGTGTATGAATGGAAAACTGGAATAAATAAAAGGGATTTAAATAACGTGCTAATTATTATTATAATCAAGGGGAAGCGCTAAACCCGGAGGATTATACAGCGCCCAGGGGGGGGGGATGTGGAAGGCATTCAGGCTTAATTCGGGGAACTGGAGCACAGATCCCATTCCCTAAATCAAGAGCCCCTCACCAACATCAAGGAACCTTCCTTGAGGGGAATAACGTGCTAAAAATATCTAACCAAGACGAGACTCTCAGCAATGAGTTCAAGTTGGAAAAATTTAGATAGAGGACATAGGAAAACATTGGTTTTGTAAGTATGTGCGGTTGTGTACACATACAGTTACACAAATTATCATACATAGTAACATATGTGTAAATTACCTAGGATAACCCTCAAAAGGTCAGACAAAGTGACTTATTTCCACTGGGGTCCTTGTAATATGTTATTATTATGAACCTTAAAGCGGTGGGCCGAGGGGGCGTTGACCCCCGAAATCCTCTCAAGGTATACTCCACCGTCATAGTGGTGTGACGTCATACCGCGTCCATCATGGCTGCCATGCGAGTGTTGCACGGGAGCGTTGCTGGAGTGTTGTTCTTAAGCTATTCAACAGTTTCTGTTTGTCAGGTAATATTTATTAGGAAACGGCGAAGAACAGTAAGTGTATATTACATTTGTTGTAAGAGTTTTGTTGTTAAGTTGTAGTAAAACGCACTTCAAGCTTGTGCTTGTGAGCTTTTAATTTATTTATTTATTAATTTGAACATGATACAGTGAAGTACAAAAGAATACAGTTAAATGCAGCATGCCAAAGCCACTTGAATGCATAGCATTACGGGCAGGCTTAAAATTAACTTAAGATTAACTAAGCAGTGAAGTATTCAGTGGTAAAACATTATTGTAAACAGATAACAAGCACAAATGAGTATTACAAAAACAATAATGATACACTAATACAATAATGAGATACATATATGAGATACAATTTATGAAATACAATTATTCAGTATTTATTTAGTTGTGGGTGAATAAGTGATCTTTGAGAAGAGACTTAAATTTATAAACAGACAGTGTTTCTTTTATATTTACAGGTAGTGAATTCCAGATTTTTGGGCCTTTTATGTGCATTGAGTTTTTGCATAGTGTGAGATGGACACGAGGAACATCAAAGAGTGATCTGTGCCTTGTGTTTTGATCATGTGTTCTGTTGAGGTTGGTAAGGAGATGTTTGAGGGGAGGGTTAATATCAGAGTTAAGTGTTCTATGTATGTAGTAGGTGCAGTAATAAGTATGGATGTTTTGTATGGTGAGTATTATTATTATTATTATAATCAAAAAGAAGCGCTAAGCCACAAGGACTATACAGCTGTATGGTGAGTAGGTTTAGTGTTTTGAATATTGGTGGAGTGTGCTGTCTGTAGTGGGAATTTGTTGTTATTCTGACTGATTATAATAATTGTTATCTGTTGAACCGTCTGCCAACGTTATATAAACATTTGCCAGGAGAGATTACATTGAAAATTCTAATCAAATTTTTTATTATTTGAATGCTGTACAAAAATGGTCAAACTCAAATTCACTTTTTTATTCCTGAGGACATGTAGTTTACATGTAACTTTGTTAGGCACAAAAGAAAGCCACTAGTATGTAATACATTTCAATTTATTAATAATAAAGATATTTGTATGAGTGTGATTAAGAGTTCCAGCCTCAAATGCTTGTGTTTTATGATAATTGTTTTAAGTGTATGACTGAGGTATTCACCCTAGTGGAAATGTTACCTTGATTATTTGGGGGTTACATATAACATACATGTACCTGATCTGATCTTTTTAATGATTAGCTGTTTGGAGGGATATGTTGTGTATTTTTATACATATATGCTTCTATACTGTTGTGTTCTGAGCACCTCTGCTAAAACAGTGATTATGTGTGAGCGAGGTGAAAGTGTTCAATGATGATGAAAGTATTTTCTTTTTGGGGATTTTCTTTCTTTTTGGGTCACCCTGCCTCGGTGGGAGACGGCCGACTTGTTGAAAAAAAAATAAATAACTCAGTTTACCTTATTCTTAGTATATCTTCTTTTATTGTAACTGCTTTTCGCATAGTTGAATTACTTAGCTGTTTTAACTTTGAAGGTTTAAATACTAAGGTATTACAAGGACCCAATGGAAATAAGTCACTGGTATTTATCATTCATGTAACTATGTGTACCTATACCTGGATAAACTTACTTATTTACTATCCTAGGTAATTTACATCAGGTATGATAATCATACTTGTGTGTACCTGTGCCTAAATAAGCTTATTTAGCCAACAGTACCCTAGTTGAGGTATGGGTAGATGAGGGTAGTGTTAGTAGCTGAGACTAGCAAACAAAATTTTGGAGAATGTCTACAATTTTTTAGGTGCAGGTACATATAAAGTACAATTTTCATACCTAGTAATGTGTAAATTACCTATTAAATTTCCACTAAACTGTAATTGTTTATCTATGATCAGACCTAGGAATTTACCCATATTCTTCTTTCTACTTTTGTATCGTTAATTTTGATGCCTTTATTGTCAACTCGGCAGACGATGCAACATCTCCCCAGTGAAAAGCATAGGCGCCACTAGCACGATGCCTCCCAGCATAATAAGGGGGATTGCCAGTAGACCCCAGGCTGTCTTTAAGAAGGCACTGGACAGGCACCTAAAGTCAGTGCCTGACCACCTGGGCTGTGGTTTGTATGTCGGATTATGTGCAGCCAACAGTAACAGCCTGGTTGATTAGGTCCTGATCCAACATGAGGCCTTTTCCCAGACCAGGCTGTGGGGGTGTTGACCCCTGAAACCCTCTCCAGGTATACTCCAGGTATGATTTATTCCCAAAAGTTATATAGAATGTTTGTATTCTATATCAGGAGGGAGTATATTTATCATGTGGGTGTAGACCATTTTTAGTTGAGCATTAACTAGAGTGTATTTAAAGTCAGGGGCTTGAAAACTTGTAAGATATAGTGTTTCTTGAGCAGTAAATTTATTTAGGTGTAGGTATACATAAATGCAACTTTACAAATTAGCATACATAAGAACGTGTGGAAATTACCTAGGATACCCCCCCCCCCCCACCAAAAAAAAAAAAAAAAAAAAAAATTAGAAGTGGCTTATTTCCGTTGGGGTCCTTGTAATATCTTTATTATTGAAACCTTAAAAGTTAATGGCAAAATAACTCAAATGTGTTAAAATCCATTATAGTAAAGAGAGATACTAGGAGTAAGGTAAACTGAGTTATTTACATTAACATTAAAGAGAGGGATCAGCTTAAAAGAATAGGTACATGGATGTTAGCTATACAAGAAATCATTCTCCTTCCATTCTGTAGCTTCATTCATTAGTATTTATACCTTGGGAGTAGCCGCCACCACTAGTCACCTAATGATGTATTTTATTCACCATGTTTCTCTGTTATTTATATTGTTTATTATGTCATATTAGGTCAATTATGATAGATAAATAAGCCGTAGAGTTGATATTAGCATTATATTGAAGTATTTTCTCTTGCCTCCCAAGAGTTTTTTGGGGGGACTGGAACAGATTAATGGCATTTCAGTTAATTTCAATGAGGAAAATTGATCTGATATACATACAAGCAAATTGAGTTACGAGCTCGGTCACGGAACAAATTAAACTCGTAAGTCAAGGTACCACTGTACATCCAACTATTTAGTTCCACATCCACCTATTTAGTTCTACATCCACCTCTAGTTTTACAACCTCTTCTCATTTACCGATGGACTCGTTTACTGATGACTCAGACTTATGATGGGCTCTCTGACCATTGTGCATACTTAAATAATATGTATTAGAGCTGATTTCCTCCATTCTGTTTCTTACAATATACAGTAAATTACTGTGTAAATATTTAAAAATATACCAGAAATGTTATAAATGGTGCAAAGGTAACATTAAAACAGCATCAAAGATGGTTGACACAAACCCACTACCATTATAGTATGCTCCTCACTTAGTGGCGAATTCATTTACCGACGTGGTCTTAGGAATGGAACTATGTCGTTAATTGAGGAGAGGCTGTTTTGTGAAATTCAAACATCAAGTGCTCTTGGGATACAGTAAATCTTCTGTTTACTGGCCATCCATTCCCTGTGATTAGTCTTTTAACCCTTTGAGGGTCGACAGGCCCTCTCCGAAACTCATTCTCAGGGTCGGCCAAATTAAAAAAAAAAAAATAATAATTTTCTCTTATGAAAAGATAGATAATCTTTTCCCGATCATAATGACACCAAAAGTTTGAAATTTGATGGAAAACTTACGGAATTATGCTCTCGCGAAGTTAGCAGTCTCGGCGATGTTTACGCATCGGCGATCTTGCCCACTTTGAGCCCCATTTTGGGCCCAAATTTCCCACTGTACTAGTTGACAAAAAACATGAATATTTCGCTAGAACGCCATTTTTTCTATCGAATGAGTGCAAGAAACCACCCATTTATCAATTTCAACTATCAAATACAGTGGTCAGAATTTAGCAATTTTTCCCAAATTTTACACAATTTCAAAAAATGCCAATTTCCGAATAGGGTCCAGAATAAACAAAAAAGACTTCCTGGCACTAAAATGACATTTTCTCTGTTCATTAGTCACGTCTCAAGGCCCCTCTTACATTCTTTTGCTTTCTACTTTGAATTTTTATTCTCACAAAAAATAGAAGATTTACTGTTATGCAGACTACTGCATTAGTGTAAAAAATGGTATAAATAATATTGGCATACTTGCGTAAGAATATTAGACTCACCAGTTGACGTGTATTGGACGCTTGGCATGATTTGTTTACTTTCAAACTTTGGTAAAAATTGAACATTTCTGCTATTTTGAGCTCAATTTCAAGGTACTTTTCATTGTAAAACCAGTCAAAATCATCTCTATTTCTGTAATATGTCTTCCATTCTATAAAATGAGACCAAGAAAACTAGAATACAACAATAAATACCATACGAAAATACAGTGCAAAGTCGTTGTTTTATTAAAAAAAAACGGTCAAAGTTTTTTTCTCATTATGCACTGCGTGCTGCAGGATTTTTTTTATACTGTGCACACTGACCACATAGACCCATTCTTTCATATGTAGGCCTACCAGCTTTCTCCCACTAGATTTGAGGGCGCTAGAATTTAGGCGTACTAGTACGTCAAAAACCCTGGGTCGTAAGCCGTACTAGTACGGCCGAAACCCTCAAAGGGTTAAATAAAGGATTTACTGTACTGCTTGAATTTCACAATATTAAGTGGATTTTAAATAATGTTGGCTGGACTTGTAGGAAATTTCATAACTAATAAAGCTTGCTTCTTTGCAGATCAGGGATGGTAACTGGGCTCATCCTTTTAATGTAGCCTGTGACAAACCAAGAGTCCTTGGGTAGATACTAAGATAAAAATACAAGGATCATTGGAGAACTACATGGAGATAATACAATGAAAAATTCCATGGATATAACAATACAAGATCATTGAAGACTTAAACAACTGCCCAAGTAAGACTACATGCTCTTTCTAACAACAGTTTGAATATTAAAATGGTATAAAATACCAACAGGTTGTTAGGTAAGACACACGTGCAACAGTTAGGTATCTTTATTTCGAAACGTTTTGCTTACACAGTAGGCTTCTTCAGTCTCTTCTATCAACTTCTCTGTAATCAACTGAAGAAGCCTACTGTCAACTTCTCTGTAATCAACTGAAGAAGCCTGTGTAGGCAAAATGTTTCGAAATAATGATACCTAACTGTTTCATATGTATCTTACCTAACACACAACAATTTGCTTCGTGAGAGTGGGATCACCTTCTGTGGTGGGAGGGCTTAAGTAACTTTGTCTATGAATCCATCTCTCCCTCCCCCTCCATTATTTGGCTAGCTTAGTGGATTTTTCACCATTTGTTAAATTTACTTTGGAGGATTATGGAATATGTCATTGCTGTCTTGCCAACTGGTCCTCAAAGTTCCAAGGGAATTCAGTTGTCAAGAGTCTTTGAGTGGGTCACAGGGTGGTAAATGTGGTGGCAGAGGTATTACTGGAAGTCACCTTCGAATCCAGGAGTAGTGAGTGAAAGTGTACAATTCTCGGTGTTCTTTCCAGTTTGCCTTCAGGTACTACAAGTCGAATGCTGATAGCTTTTCTTAGGCTCTGCTTAACCCTTTCACTGTCTAGAGTCTAGACTCTAGACCTTCAAAATTAATATTGCTCCCAGTGGCTACCTTTAAAAAGATAAATTCTGAAATGGTAGGAAATCTTTTTTTAACCCTTTGACTGTTTTGGTCGTATATATACGTCTTATGAGGTACTGTGTTTGACGTATATATACTCATAAATTCTAGCGGCTTCAAATCAAGCAGGAGAAAGCTGGTAGGCCCACATGTGAGAGAATAGGTCTGTATGGACAGTGTGCACCATATACAAAAAATCTTGGAGCATGCAGTGCATAATGAGAAAAAAAAACTCCGACCGTTTTTTTTTTTAATTAAAATTCCGACTTTGTGGTCTATTTTTGTATAGTATTTATGGTTCTATTCTATGGAAAACATATTATATAAATAGAGGTGATTTTGATTAGTTTTACTATAAAAAGAACCTGGAAATGGAGCTCAAAGTAGGGAAAATGTTTGATTTTTGCCGATGTTCAAAAGTAAACAAATGATGTCATTGTCCAATAAATGTCCAACTAGCCATTCTAATATGCAGTCATGAATGGGTTGACATTATTTGTACAATTATTAAAATATTGCAGTAGTCTGCATAACAGCAAATCTTCTATTTTTTGTTTGAATAAAAATTCGAAGTAGAAAGCAAGAGTAATATCAGAGGGGCCTGGAGACGTGACTAATGAACAAAGAAAATGTTATTTTAGAGCCAGGAATGTCTGCATTGTTCATTCTGGACCTTATTTTGAAACTCATATTTTTTAATTTTTCGTGAAATTGGCCAAATTGCAAATTTTTCGACCATTTTTGGGTAGTTGAAAATCGGTTAAAAGGGGCATTTTCTTGACCCAATCGATAAAAAAAAATGGAGTTTTCAAAGAAATACTATGATTTTGGGTCAACTGGAACAATAAAATTACCAAAAAATGGGCTAAATTTGGGCGAAATCCCCAATTTTGAAAATATCGCCGAGGTCGCTAACTTTCAGAGCGTAATTCCTCAGTTTTTCCATCAAATTTTGATTTTTTCATGTCATTTAATAGAAAAGATCTCTTACATTTAAAGAATTTTTTTTTTTTTTTTTTTTTTTTTTAATTTTGCGCCCGGAACCCTCGGTTTTGGGGGTTGCGACAGTCAAGGGGGTTAAAAAGTCTTAGTATAGCCAGTTCAGGAAGAGAGCAAAAAGGTTCCTAATAAATGAAGCACAGAAGGGGGGAAAGTTTTTTCTATGTGCCTAAGGGTATGTACCTACTATAATAAACGATTTTTCTCCTATAATGTTCCATGTAAAAAACAAAATTTCCCTTTTATTTTTATTGTTCCCTTTTTGTAAAAAATGTTTTGGGCATTGGGTTTGCATAGTTGTTTTTTTTTTTTAAGAATATGATCAAAAATATTTCTGCTGTATCTTATAACTAAATTTGAATAAAAATATATTAAAAGGACCCAATGAAAAAAAGTTCTTCAATACTTTTTTGGGTTATTTAGGAATTTTGTCATTATTTAACAAGCCCTCCCCATACCCCGGGTAAATTTTCCCAAGCCTACTGGGGGAAATAGCGAACCATAATTTTTTTTGTTTAATACTACCTTTAAAGTTTATTTAAAAAAATTTATCCAAATAAGACTTAAGATTTTGATGATTGGGGATCATCTAGTGACATGGTTTGTTTTTAAACCCTTTTAAAAAAAACATTGTGATAGGAATTGTTTTTGCAGGAGTGAAATGCTAGAGGGCTGACGGATACAGTAAAAGGGGGCCAGTGGGGGGGATAGGGGACAAAGAAAACAAGTCTTACTGAGCGGGCAGGGCAAAGGGTTTTCACCACATATTCAGAAGGGTGCCAATGTGAAACTTTTGGTTTTTTTATTTCGGGAATTTTTCCTTTTAAATATTTTGAGGCTGCTGTAAAAACGCAGATAACTGAAACTGCTGAAACGAATCTGCGATACAAGGGTTCACTGTGTGAAATTTATTGAAAATACCTAATTGTATTTGTGTACCTGCCTAAAATACTTACTTGGTAGTTACCCACTAGCTAGTTTTAAGATTTTACTAACTAGGTATTTAGTTGTACTTTTATTTGGGCACCTGTTTAGACATTTAGTTGGTTAGCTATTTGAGCTATTTGGCTAGCTATTGATTTATAGCAAACCTCCAATTTAACCCATTACTTCCAAGGAAATAAAATCTTCATTTTTTGTGAAACCATATTAATTTCATCGTTTTGAATGTAAATAGTGTCCTAAAATAAGAATTTTTTTTTTTTTTTTTTTTTGAACTTGAGTTATAGATGGTGACTGTATGGTTACCTAAGGAGACTGTGGATACAAAAACTTCAAGAGATTTCCATTAAGAGTACTTTATTGGCTGCATCTATTTCATATTGTGGTATGAAGCAAAGCATGGAATACAACCTCTCTTGGTTAACTCAACCAACAGTAGAACTGTAGTGAAGAAATTATAAAAGAAAAAATGGTATGGAAACCTTTCTGCATTTTCACTGTATTCTTCAATGAGATGTATAACAGTAGATGCAGCTTTACCAAGTTCACTCTCCATGTTTTCATTCCCTTTGTGAGTCCTTCCTTGGTATGGGTCAAAAGCTTGCAGATAACCAGAATGGGTGTCTTGACACCATAATTTGTAGCCAAAAAACATCCCCCCCCCCCCCCCCCCCCCCCCCCCCCCCCCCCCCCCCCCCCCCCCCCCCCCCCCCCCCCCACCCCCCCCCCCCCCCCCCCCCCCCCCCCCCCCCCCCCCAACCCCCCCTTACAGGTTTGTTTACTGAAATTGACCGCTTACAGCCATGCTTACCAAAATATTTCACCATTGCCTCGTCATGCAAAATATTTTGTGAAGGAATGAAGTGTTCCATAAACTTCTTTTGAAGGTGTGTGATCAGAGGACGCAGTTTAGTGTACTTAGCACTTGTGTCTAGGTTGTGAGTTGCTTTTGAAATGAAGGGATTTTTGTTGAATCAAATTCTGTCTCGACCGCATTTGCATTACTTATAGTCTTGTTGTATCATCATGGTTCATGCGACCAATACATAGATTTGCTGGGCAATGAATTGTAACCAGAAACAAGCAAAATAGTCAGGAAATCATTAGTTCCATTAAATTACACAAACGTCGGCCGATTTTTTCTTCATACAGTACTTTGTCATTTTGCTGCTTTGTGTGTTGTCCAAAGGGATTTCTTCATTAAAGGAAAAGCCTCCAGAGTTTACGACACTAAAGTCCCAATATTGCTGAAGTCTGCTGCAGGTAAATTTCTGGTACATGCTTTGTTTCTTTATTTTTTCCTCCACTTTATCTTTGTAGATAGTTTGTCACCTTAATATTCTGCCTTTTGGGTATTTTCACTGTGCATCTCTCCGGTTTGTTCTACACTTAATTCTTCTTTCTCTTCTTCATCAGACGAAAGACTCGAAAACTCACAGAGGCTAATAATTAGATTCCCAGACAGCTTTCAGGTTGAAAAAGATCATTTCTTCATCTGCGGTGCCCGAAAATTCTTAATCAAGTCAGGAAGTGCTCCTCATCTGTGGGCTCAATGTAGAGATCTTCAGCTTCCTCCAAGATCATCTAGAAGGTCTAAGAGGTTCATTGACAGTGTATGTTTTTTGCCTGTAAAAAAGAAATAACAATTGTCAAAATATAATACTGAAACCACATGGACATATGAATGTCATTAACCTGTACATGTATACTCCTAAGGTAACCATGTGGTGTGCGGTACCAAAAATATTAACCTGAATACGTACTACTTGAAATTTACAATTTTACATGGAAAAACTTTCGCAGTAACTTACATTTTATAGCACATTCTATGTCTATTATGATGTAATTTATAAAGGACAATTATATTAATCTCCATGGGGAAGCGGAACAGAATTCTTCCTCCGTAAGCCATGCGTGTTGTAGGAGGCGACTAAAATGCCGGGAGCAAGGTGCTAGTAACCTCCTCTATATACAGTGGACCCCCGCTTTACGATCAGCTCCCAATGCGACCAATTATGTGTGTATTTATGTAAGTGCATTTGTACGTGTATGTTTGGGGGTCTGAAATGGGCTAATCTACTTCACAATATTCCTCATGGGAACAAATTCATTCAGTACTGGCACCTGAACATACTTCTGGAATGAAATAATATTGTAAACCGGAGGTCCACTGTATTACTAAATGTAAAAGGAGAAACTTTCATTTTTCCTTTTGGGCCACCTCGCCTTGGTGGGATATGGCCAGTGTGTTGAAAGAAAGAAAGAATTATATTAATCTCCATGGGGAAGCGGAACAGAATTCTTCCTCCGTAAGCCATGCGTGTTGTA